AAAGAAAGAAAGAAAGAAAGAAAGAAAGAAAGAAAGAATAAACCCTGCCCTAGAGTCAAAAAGAACTGCATTCCAATAGCACTTGGCCATGGACCAGTTCTGTGGTCTTGAGCAAGCTATCCATCTCTCCCATCTTCCCTTTCAGTATCTACAGCCAGTATCTATTGTGTAAACACAATAATGACTTTGATGTGATGATGCAAATATATACCTTAGCAGGGTGCCAAGACTGAATCCAGGAGATTCTGGGTGCTCAGCCTGTCTGAAGCCAAGAAATACTACTTTCGCATTAGTTGCAACAGCTGGGGCCAGGTAGCAGGAATACCAGCCTGAATTCTGGGCAGAAGTGACTGGGCAGGAGTGTGGGATATGCATAAGGGCAAGGGTTTCACTGTACCTGGTGGATAGAGGGCCAAGGTAGAGGCTGAGGTCACAAAATTTGTCCCTGCAGTTAGAAATCTGGTGAACCCAAGTCAACAGAGACACCAGGCTATTGTTCAGAAATGGCAGGAAATTGATGGGGCTACAATTCCAGAGTTGCTTAAACCTTTGGTATTTATTTTAAAATCAGTTAGGGTCCCAGAGCAGAGATGAATGTGCATTGAGAGTGTGGGGGAACACGCTTCCTATCCTCAACTACAGCCTATCCACCCATCAGCTACAAAGCTCAAAGCCAGCTCCAGCCACAGCAATGTGGCTAGCTGAGCCAGGTGTCCAGAGTGGACTCAACGAACCCACTGAGACAACATCCCCATCCTTATCCATGGAAATACGAAATTGTACTATGACGCCCTGCAAAGGGGGAAAGGGTGCCAGATTTGACTGGAACCAGAATCTGTGTCATGCCCTGGATTATACAACATTTCACAGAAAACACCACCAAAGCAGAGTTTGCCACACTCAGCCAGCATCTACATTAGCAACTGCAACATAGATCTCAGTGAAAATTCACAGCAAAACGAAAGGAGGGATGGGGGATGGGGTGTGTGGAAACACTCTCTGTGTTTTACACACACCGCTGTTCTATAATATAAAGCCTATAGGGTTCATCCTAATCAGGCCAGATCCTTCTATCACAGCTGACCTTGTCGAATTCTCTTGTGCCATGGAGTGCTCATTCTGCTCTGTTGAAGCAGCCCAGGTGCCCTTCCATTCCTCTTCACTTCAAGTCCTCCTTTCCTCTGCTACATGCAAGGGCACACAAGCACATTCATGTATATGCATGTATCTATGCATCTACGTGTGCACACAGGGTCTGCGTCTGTACAGGTGTGTATAAACTCATGTGTGTAATGTGTGTGTACACACGTATGTGCACATATAGGTGTGAGCATTTATAAAGCATCTCCTCCTCTCTGTAGTGCTCTCCTCTTGCTGCTTCAATGATGCTAGAAGACCCCGTAGCTTTGATATCAAACTCAGACTGAGTCATTGCCCACCCCCACCCCCATGCCCTTCCCTGTATGTCTGCTCTGAGAGCAGCAGTCTCACCTGCAGCCCTCAGCAGAGGATCTTAGAGTCTCCAAGAATAAGTAAGGGCACTGAGCACTGCTTATAAAAACTTGACTTTTTAGACTCTGGGCAGTCAGCAGCCCCTCTGGGGCCACCAGTCTATTCCTTGGGGCCTGCCAGAGACACAGAGTAGGAAGAGGAAGCAGGTGGATGCAATGACACACTTGACAAGGTGCCTCGAAATCTTGCACAACCAATTTAGGCCTCCAACAAAAACAATATTCGATGTAAAGGAAATTTTGAAACTCAATGTCCTCCTAAACAATAAACAAGAGGATTTTTCACGAATGAATTTCTTTTAAGTACACTGAAAATCCATGACACCGATACCTGTCATTTTGTGCCTTGGGATACCTGTGGTACCTAGTACTGACTCACAGCTAGGCCTCCCCCTTCAGCCTCATCCTCAGATGTGTACACCATTCGAGGTAGAGTCCCAAGGGAGCCTACGGTCATTTTTACTTCCTCAGAGGATGTTATTTTTCCACGTTAATTTTTTTTCCCATAGGGTGCATTTGCTCACCAGAGAGAGAGACAGACAGAAACAGAGAGAGACAGAAAGAGACAGAGAGAGACAGTGAGAGGAAAAGTGAGAAATCATCCCCCAGAGGGGATGGTCACACTGCAATCCCTACTTTTCCCTTCTCCCTTCTCCTGGGATTTTGGAAATGCACACATACATACCCAATGTGAATTTCAAACCACCAGGTCCAGGACTCAAACTGTGGTCGGCCATGTGAGAGTCCAGCACGTTAACCACTATACCACCTGCTGGCTGATCTATTTTATTTTTTTTAATATGAGAAACCAAACCAAGCATGATTTTAGATGAAGAGAGACAGGAAAAGGAACCAGCAGTTAGCATAATGGCTATGTCGCTGGACTCCCACGTAGTCGACCGCGGTTCCTGTGCCGGACCCGGTGGCTTAAAACTCACGCCAGGCGCGTGTGCGTGCGTGCCCAAGATCCCGAG